ACACACACACACACACACCCTCTTTCCGGCCTTTTCGCTGTGAACGTTGACTTATCAGCTGAAAGGGCTGTTTATGAGACGATAATGAATTTGTAAAGCCATTATCCCTGTTTTCATTTGAATTATCACCCTTCCCCCCAAAAAAAACAACAACAACAGTAACAACAACAGCAACAACAGTAACAACAACAACAACAACAACAACAACACCTTTACACACTACCCACTGACCTACGAAATAATAACGCTATTCTTCTCTTTTCTCGAACTATAAGGAGGCCAACCTGGCTTTTCTGAGATTGGACTACTTACAAATGGCGAAGAGAGCGCTGGCGCTACTTCCGCCCAGGAGACTTCTGGCTCGTCCTGATGACGTCAGCGAAACCTGCTATGAAGAGCTGATGACGTTTTTCGATGCCCTTATTGGGAGTCCCGAGAGAAGTTCTCATGGACAGACAGATTACAGAAGTATGGACTGGGCGGTGCGAGGTGAGAACTGAGGCGTGTGGGGATTTCTGTGGTGTTGGGGGTGTGGTGGTGTTGCGGTGGTATTGGTGACGTGGTGGTATTGGTGTGGTAGTGTTAATGATGTGGTGGTTGGACGGGGTGGTATTGATTAATGGGTGGTATTAATGATGTGGTGATATTGTTGATATAGTGGTTTGATGTGGTATTGATATTGTGATGGTGTTGATAACATGGTGGTTTGATGTGGTGGTATTGATGATGTGGTGGTATTGGTGACGTGGTGGTGTTGGTGATGTGGTGGTAGTGATGTGATGGTGGTATTGTTGTGGTGGTATTGATGACGTGGTGGTATTGATGGCGTGGTGGTTGGATGTGGTGATATTGAAGATGTGGTGGTATTGATGATGGGGTGGTATTGATGATGTGGTGATATTGTTGATATAGTGGTTCGATGTGGTATTAATATTGTGATGGTGTTGATGACATGGTGGTTTGATGTGGAGGTATTGATGATGTAGTGGTATTGGTGACGTGGTGGTATTGATGATGTGGGAGTATTGATGACGTGGTGGTGTTTGTGACGTGGTAGTGTAGATGATGTTGTGGTTGGACGTGGTGGTATTGAAGATGTGGTGGTGTTGATGATGTGGTAGCATTGATGATGTGGTGATATTGTTGATTGGTGAATTGATGTGGTATTGATGTTGTGATGGTATTAATAATGTAGTGTTATATATGTGGTGGTGTTGATGATGTGGTGGTATTGATGTGGAAGTATTGATGATTTGGTGGTTGGACGTGGTGGTATTGATGATGTGGTAGTATTGATGATGTGGTGATATTGTTGCTGTAGTAGTTTGATGTTGTGGTACATGTACTGATGTAGTGGTGATTTTGTGTGGTGGTATTGATGATGTAGTGACTTTGATGTGGTTGTTGCTGTGGTGGTATTAATGATGTTGTGGTTGGTGTTGATGTTGTTGTGGCTTGATGCTGTGTTGCTGTTGATGTAGTAGTTTGGTGCTCTTGTTTGATGTGGTTGTTTTTGATGTGGTGGTGTTGATGATGTAGTGGTTTATGTCGTGGTGACGATGAAGCGGTGGTATTGATGATGTGATTATTTAATGTGGTTGATTTGATGCGGTTCATTTGATGTGGTGGTTTTGATGATATAGTGGTTTGATATGGTTATTTTTGTATGGTTGGTTAATGTAGTTGTTTTGATGTGGTTGTTGTTTTTTGTGATTGTTTAATGCAGTTGTCTTTGTTTAGTAATCTTGAAAAAGAGATTGTTGTTTAATGTGGCATTTGTTTATAATTTAGTTGTTAAGTGTTGTTTGATATCAAAGTTATTGATGATGAGGTTTGCTGTTTAGTCTTTAACGCCATATAAGGCCCTTTTCTTTTAATGTAGTTGCAATATTGTTGATAACATAATGTTCTGATATACATTTTTATGTCGAAGAAACAGTTATTGTTGAAAGTAATATAAGTATTAATGGCGGACGAGAACAGCCAAAAACAACGATAACAATAACGACGATGATAATAATAACGACGATGATGTTATCCTCCATCACCCAGTCTTTGACGCCTACGGCAAGCCCGGGCCAGGAATACTGTCCGGAGCCCTCCAGTTCACCGGGTACTATGACCAATGCCTGGACACCAGGGCTGCAGTACCGGCGGGAACGAGGCTGGCCAACAACGTCGTGAACGAGACCAAAGACTTCGGCATGAGATACTGCAGGGTGCAGGCTAATGTTGGTCGGAGTTTGAATCTCACTTTCTCGGTAAGGGATGTGTGTGTGTGTGTGTGTGTGTGTGTGTG